AGACTCGAACGCAGGCCAGCCGAAAGTCAGTGCACAATGCTAACTGCTTGGCTACAGCGACCCCTAAATGTGACGTTTTAATACTATGTATTTTTGGCAGTAGTGGAAGGCAGTAGTGGTATTTGTAGGAAGTTTCAGTAGGGTCGAACTTTCTTATTGTTTTTTTTTTTTTTGACTTAGGCACCGCCTACGCAAGTACGGTCTATTCAATAAAAGACGTCATGTAAAACTAAGTTCTTCTCCTCTTGATCTCTCCATCCCAGTGGGAGCCTTCCTCTTCCTCTGCTTCCACCAGTGGGCATTGCGTCGAACACTTTCAAAGTTGCATTCATCCATCCGGACGATGTGACCGAGTCGTGGTTGCCGCTGTATCTTAATACACTGAGCTATGTCAATTTCATTGTATATCTCGTACAGCTCATCATTCCAGCGTCTGCAGTACTAGCAGTACATATACCATAAATCCCCCTGCGAAACTTTTTTCTCAAAAACACTCAAACTACGACTTGTTGGATGTTTCATCATTTACGCTACTGCTCCACGGAGTGAGATGAGCATGTATTGAACTTCTTGTAGAATTCTGTCTATCTTTGTTGAGAGAGAACTTTACTTTTCAATTGTAGCGACAGTACAAAGCAACGCCTGAAATCATCTTGAGGTTGCCTAGACGCGAATACGCTAACTGTTGGTTTGTTGATAAAAGATATTTCATGTCTTAAGAACTTTAGTCCATCTGGAGAAAGCAATTTTTGAGGCCAATGTTATCAAAATCATCGATATGTGCCAGCAGTTGGACGTTTTTGTAGAAGTCTGTACGATCTCATGAATGAGTGTCAACTGTTTTGAACACTGGTTTGGTACAGAACGCCTCGGCGATCCTCATCCTCAATTCTTACAGAGCTGTTCTGTGTTGCGGCGTGTAATTTGGCTTCTGTATCTCAACTCCTACTCTTGCATCCACATCGCCCATCTAGGAAACGTAAGCAACCCTTGGGCAAGATGCGGTAACTAACATCTGTGGGGCGTTGAGTCACGACTCAGGTTTGCGTCTGTGCACCAGAGATTCGTCAACGAGTAAGCGTCGCTTTTGCTGCAAACGCGTCATTATATATGTATATATGTCCAAAAGCTATGCTCACTCGCATGACGAGTTACTTGTGTGTTAGGTTTGGAACTCGCGAACGGCGAAAATATCTGCTATGAAAAATAGTCTAAATGGATCTAAAAACAAGCGAACAAAAAATATTTTTTTTTATAGACAATCAAGTGATCTATAGAAACCTTTATTGAATAACAAAATGGTGGCTTACAAATTAAATCTTTTTCGTAGATCAGTCCCTAGACTACTTTCCGGAAAGAAGCGTAGTCTTACTGTCTAATCTAAGCAAAAAGCCATTGAAACTCTTTTCAATGTTGACAGCACAATATCAATCTTAAAAAAAGTCTTCAATTTGAAGATTTATTGAATTCATTTGTTACAGAAAATGTGATAAATAAAGAACCATCTACTTAAAGTTCCGAAGAAAGGCTGTAATTTGGTTTGAGCAGGTGAGCCCGTTCTTGAGTTATAAAACCACAACGAAAAGTAGCAATCATTTATATACATTTATATATATAAGTACATTTAAGTACATATAATCACAATTAAATTCACTAGCGGCAATACTCGTACTGAAATCCAAAGCTAAGAGAATCCTCTCTCTTCACTCTTACTTTGAACAGAATTCCTCTAAGTCCTTTAGAGTTTTATTTTTGTTTTTAGGTCAAAACCCTTTGAAGTGGAGTTTAATAATCACATTGCCCTTATTAACAACATTTATATACAATTTATTTACATAGTGAAGTATGTATGTATTTATATACTTATATATATGCATGTATGCATGTGTTATTTTTAAGCTACCAACCAACCTAATTTCTTTGTTTTACAAACCAATGTGCATATGTATGTATGCATGTATGTATGTATGTAGCAGTGCTTGTTAACTGTGTAAAATGTTATTTATAAATACCGTTATTGACATGAATCGTGTATGCCAAAAATACTCTTACTGCACGCAAATTACCCCAGCTAAGACACTTCTCAGCCGAAGTGCTTGCCTGCTACCTGCTTGCAACGCCAACGCCAACCTTTGCCAATTCGTCCGGCTTAAACGCATCAACTATACTAAATGCCTGTATGTATATATGTATGTATGTGTGTGTGTATGTGCCTTTGCAGGATTAACTGATTATGTGAAAGACTGAAAATGGCTGCTGCCATGCGTGTTTGGGCGCTTCAGTATGCTTGTATGTATGCTTGTATGAATTTGTTGTTGCATTTCGAAAATGCAGTGCCTAAAAGTAGGCCAAACAAGTTAAAGCATATTTAATACACGCACACACATGTACACAAATCTACCGATCTATTTCCAGCAAACTGAATACAAACACATATCTGTAATACATACATATGTATATACTCGTATACATATACATATATTTACATACATACATATAGGGTTGCATTTTCCCGCCCCAGTGCTGCATGTGCGAGTGTATGTATATTTGCTAAAAATAGTGCAAATTTATTATCAGCATGTGCACAGTGGGACATTTGCGTTGCATTTTGCCATGAATTTGCAACTTGACCGACTTCTTCGGTAGATGTCACGCTTGAGGCTTTATTTTTTTGACATTTGACAAGTGAAAACAACGCCAGTAATAAAACCGGAACAAGAAAAGGTCAATAAAGCAATGAAACTATTAAAACTCACTACAAAAATAGTGAAAACAAGGCGGAGACAGTTTTTTCAAGGTGTGACACTTAAGTAATGAGACTGATTCCATAGAAACCCTATATTTCCACATTATTCTACAACTCTGCCATCCCCTTCAAAGTAATCCCCTTGGGCAGCTATACAACGATTTCAGCGCCTCTTCGTAACATTTCTGGAACGCTTCGACTGGCATGACCGCGAGTACCCTCATCACGGCCGCCTAGATGTCCTCAATCGATTCAAAATAGGTTCCTAGGGAACAAAAAAGTCACAGGATGACATTCCGAACGAATAAGGCAGTTGTTGCAACACTGCGTTCCCTTTAGAGGCCAAATACTGGGACACGCTAAGGGCTTTGTGGCACGGCGCGTTGTTGTGATGAAAGATCCAGTTACAGGCGATTTTAGAGCGCACGATAGTAAACTTGATTTACGGTTTATGCACGATTAATCGTTTTCACCTACGACTTGCTCATGCGTGATTTTTACGAGCGGGGATTATGCGGACATTGTGAGTTTTGGAGTTTGGTTTCCGGGTCGTATTGAACAAAACCAACCCTCATCGCCTTTAATAACTCGATCAATTGACGAGGGACGACCTGCTTAAGAAAATGTTTATGTTGGCCAGACACAACCCACCGCATTTCAACAGCATGCATTGCTAGCCAATCGACAACTGCGACCGCCAGCTTTGTAACCGCTGAAGGGATTCTCGACCGTAGGATTGCCGCCGCCATGGAGCCACTAGGTCGGAACAATACAGAGGTATTACACAGGGCATCCTCAGGTCTCAGTGAGTTGGTTTTTTCAAATCAGTCAGCAGACGTAACCTAAAATAATCAATAAACTTTTGCATTTAGTAAATACTCACCGCATTACATTAACTCGTACCACTGTGCGCACTGATACTATGAGCATTTACTGAGCATGGAAAATGAACTAAAAATAGGCATGAGGCTGCTGTCATTTCAATATCGATTTTTGCGCCCACCTTGACGATGATGGTAATGCGCCGCAGTGCAATGCAGCACAAACTATTGTGTGCTCAACAATTGTTGCAACATCACGCCTCGAAGCTTCGTTCAACGTTGCAGTCGTAGACAACATGTGGCGCCTCTCGGCCGTGTTTAAGTGTGACTTTGGCGGAGGACGGACATGGCAGCAGGCACTGCAGGCATGTGAAAAGTGAAAACAACGGAACATATATACTATATACATATATTATGGCAAATGAAAACGAAGTAAATAAAAACAAAATGCCATACCAAAATAGAACAGAATGAAATAGAATAGAATAATTGAGAATAAAAGTTAAGTATAGCAAAGCAGTCACCAACAATTGGAACAACAAAGTGTCAGCGAGTGACAATGACAAGTGGGGGCAACACGACACATGTAACAATGCAAAAAACAAAAAAAAAAAAACAAAAACAAAAACAAAAAAGCAACTATTAAAAGGAAGCTTGTTAGCTGCTGCTACCACCAACTGCCGCCGCCGTCTCTAACCATTGGCGCTGGGAAACGGCGCAAAAGCGCCCGGAATGGCAGTTGCAGTGCAAAAGTTGCAAGCAAATCAGCGGCAGTGGGCTGAGAAATAGGCAATCGAATTGATTAGTCTCATTTAAATATATTTAGTTAGTCGCTGTTGGCTGGTGTGCAACACTTGCAGCAATTAAAAAAGATAAAAAAATTAAAAAAAAAAAATATAAAAAAAATATAAAAAAAAATATAAAAAAAAATATAAAAAAAATTATATAAAAAAGAAATAAAATATACGTTTTTCTACAAAATAGCTGCTCAAATGCAATTAAACTTGTTTCTTAATTCAGTTAACAAAATCGATTGGCGTCGACAGCACAATAAAATACAATACAACAAGCCGAGCCGGTCGGTCAGTTGGACGGTCAGCACGCGGCAAGCAGTTGGCCAAAAGCAATTTGCAATTTATTTATATTTACATTTATACATATGTTTGTATGTATATGTGTGTTTGTAGCAAAAGCATAAACGTGCGAAACGCATTTGCAACGCATTTGTAACGGTGTTAAATTAACAAATTAAATTTGCTACTAATTTTTTTTCTTTTTTTTGCGGCATAAATGCATATTGAAGAAATGACTAATGTGTGGAGTGAAAACCGTGTGATTTTATAACTTTAACGGCGTTATTGATTAAATATTTCAGCAATTAAAAATCAAAAAAAAAAAAAATCAAAAAAAAAATAAAAATCAAAAAAAAAAAACCCAAAAAAATCCATGAAAAATCAAAAACCATAGCAAAGTCGTTAAAAACTAATGAAATTGTAAAGCAATTCAAACGCTTTCATAACATCAACGCTCAAGAGCAAAACAAAAATTAAAAAATTCAACAAAAACAAAAAAAAAAAAAATTAAGCGCTAAAAAGACTTGGCTAATCTTATTAAAATGAGTCGCACGCACATATCGTCCGGCATAATGAGTCGCATGCGAGTTTTCGAAAGTGAGTGCAACCAATTTAATTTGCTTGCTATTTTTCGTAACCAGTGTGTAGTGCTATTAGTGCAGTTTATATGTATGTGATGTTCATTACATTTCAATCGCTGTCTGGTCTGGTCGTTCAATATGGTTTTGTATAATTGGCTAATTTAGTTTTTAAATATTTTTTATTTTTTTTGCCTATCATTGTTTTTTTAATTTTTCGTTACAAAACAAAATTCAAACTCTCACATTTCGCATTTCTTTCACTCATTTTGTAACTAAATGCAATTAACGGCTTAAAATTTGTTAAAAAAAAAAAATAACCCAAAATTGCTTGTCAACAACATATTTGACATCACAACAAAGATAGTAAGATTTATTTAAATTTAATCCTCCAATTTCACCAAAAAAAAAACAAAACAAAATTGAAAAAACTTTGTAAAAGCTAAGCGAAAGCTAAGCATGATGCAGCTTTTCACACTCCATGTCTGAGCGGCCATTTAATTAAATTGTTTGATTTCAAGTTGAAAAGTGTACGAAAAGCATTATTATTTCATATTATATACACATATGAATGTCTCAGCTGTATTGGTGTGTGTAAGTTTGTGCTTTTTTTTTTGGCAATGAAATGCCGTCAGCCTTGCAATTTGTTATGTTTGGATATAAATATTTGTTGCTTTTCTCCTCTAAAATGAATGCCTATAAATGTGGTGTGCTCAAGGATATAAAATTAATCAATAAAGAAAACAAAAAACGAATAAAGTATAAAAAAAATACTGTAAATGCTACTCAGTTGCATGTTGGAATGACAGTGGACTAAAATTGCAGTTGAATTTTCTAATTGCGATCGCCGCTCAGCAGGGAATGTCTACCCCTCCGAGTGGATTTCGGACATGAAATAAAGACTCCTCGTAAAAAATACCATCAGACGTTCGAGGGCGGCTTAGTATGAACTGTAGGTCCCTGCATTTGTTGGAAAAACATCAAGACCAAAAACCAAAAACCACGCATTGCCGGAGGAGCTCGGCCGAAAAATCGCTTCAGCGGTTATTATTTTTTATTAAGAATGCAGATTTAGATTAACAGTAAAGGGTTTTCCAATAAGAGCTGTTGTTTTGAATAGCCCACTGGAACTGCAATATTCCAAACTTACATATTTTGAACACTATACACTTAAACGACGCATAGAAATTATTAAAATTCGCTATAAAACTTTCAACGAAAAATCATCTTGACTGATGTGACCCATTTCCAGCTCGTTGCCTACGTCAGTGACGAAACTGTCACATCTGAGACTGGAAAAACCGCAGATTTATTGTTGAAAAGCCTCTCCACACTCCAAAGTTTAGCTGTTTGTTGCGGTTTATGCCACGGTGGGGTCAAAGGATATTACTTTTTCGAAAATTAAAGGATTGCGTCAACGAGAGATGATTAGTGATTTTTTTCTTTTCTTTTTCTTTTGTACCCCCTGAGGTTTAGGGGCTCAAGAATTTACCCGCGGTAAGACATACCTGTCGTAAGAGGCGACTAAAATCCAATAGTTCCCGCGACAGTCGGGTCTTTATACCGGCACGACCCGGATTGTTATCCGGCCAAGGACTGTCACTCCCGCTACATTCCCCAAAAAGTACTTTGGGAATAATTTGGCGGCTATAACAACAACAACAATGCTTTTTGTGTCCATTCATTGGATGATATTGATCTCCGCACAAGCAACGAAAGCATCGAACTTTTATGGAAAAATATCAAAATATTGTAATGCCTCTTATTGGAAAACCCATTATATTTTTTTAAGCTTTATATTTATTATTTTATTTTAAAATTTTAATAACTTTTTAACTTAATTTTTTCAACTTTTATTTTTATTTTAAAATTAATTTTAATTTCAATTTCAGTTTTCTCGTATTGGAAAACCCTTTATATTGTGTTTGAGTGTGTTGGGTTGGCTACAGCAATACGTTAATTTCGGTATTAGATTTTTCATTGTTTATTTTTAATTTGAAATTAAATTTTAGTTATAAAGTTAGTTGTTTTAACAGTTAGTTCAGTTGCCGATCACTACGTCGGTTATTTTAAGGAGATTCCACTCTCCTTTACAAATGCTCAAATTTCTTAGCGTGACTTATGAATCTTCTTGTTCTGTGATCTACATAAAATTTATGTTATCCCAGAGCCATCAACACGTTCTCAAAGCGGTTTAGCCTGGCTATAGAAGAGCATTAATTGCTTATTTAGCGTTAATTGGTGACAAGTTGGCTATCTCTATACAAATATAATCGGTTTCTAAGTGGACCACTTCAACTCATTCCTACCGTCGACATCTCTCTTTTAGTCTGAAGTATACCAGAATGGTTTGGCAGTACCGTTTTTGCGGTCTTCAACACTTCCTGAATGCGCAGTAGACTCTATGCCTCTACTACCTATTTCAGTAGCGTCGGTATAAACATTCAGGGTTCTCCTTCTCTAGTAGTCTAACTCTGTTGTAGATTTCATAAAGATTTCAAAACTGAAGTGTGTAGGGTCATGTGGACTATGCGTTTCTTAAGGATTATTATGTACTTTAATCACTGAGAGGCAGTGTGAAAAATATCTCGTGCCATTGTCGTTTTGCTCGCAACTTTCCTTTATAATACAATCGAAGCGAAGCTCCCACTAGGGCTTTGCCCACTCACAAAACTGAAAGGCAGTTACTCATTTTTAGAAATTTTAGTTTAATCCGAGTGTTTCATTTAACATTTAAAATAAAAAAAATATTTTTTTAATCTCCACTTTGAAGAACAATTTTCCGCTTCAGAAATTTCTATGTCTAAAACATTATGTTTGCACGAGATCGCCTATCGCTGAGCTATAATTAACCTCTTTTTAGGTGCTAAACAAGCCGTGTCTCGTTGTGAAATAACAAAACCCGAAATTAACAAATCAAAATTACTGCTTTCAGTGTTGTATTGTTCGCACAAGTGCTATGTTGCTATGTATGTATGTATACACATATGTACATATGTTTCGTATAAATACCACGATGAATGCTTAAATGCTTATCAGCCAACTTGTATGCCGTTAATGTAGGTTCTTTACCGTTTTCATGGTTAAAAAATCAACTTTTGTCTAAGCGACCAATTCCTCAATAGGTCAAAGCTGCGAAAGAATGTAAACACAACACACTTATATCTACACACACATACATATTGTATGTATGTTGCATGGTATGCTGAATGGTATGCGTTGTAAGCCATCAAAGTGGTACAAACACTAAAAACCGGTTCTAAACAAGCACCCATTAGAAAACATACAATACTTATACACGAGGTGTGTTCAAAAAATATCGCGAATTTTGTGTTTTTCAAAAATTATTTATTCATGAATATCTATTTTGTCCCCTTCAAAGTAATCCCCATGAGATATTATACACTTGTGCCAACGGGTTTTCCAATCTTCGAAGCACTTCAAAAAATCATTTTTTTTATCTTGTTCAGCTGCTCCTTCGATGCCGTCTTTATCTCGTCAATCGTAGCGTAACGTCGTCCTTTCATGGGCCTCTTCAGTTTAGGGAACAAGAAAAAGTCAAAAGAGGCAAGATCTGCGGAATACGGTGGCTGCGGCATCATTAGTGTGTTGTTTTTGGCCAAAAAGTCGCGCACAAGCAACGATGTGTGAGCAGGGGCGTTATAATGGTGCAAAAGCCAATTTTTATTCTTCCACAAATCCGAGCGTTTCTGGCGGATTGCTTCGCGCAAATTGCGCATAACTTGCAGGTAATATTCCTTATTGACCGTTCTACCCTGTGGCAAGAACTCATGATGCACCACGCCCCTGCAATTAATTTTTTCGTCTGTTGTTGAAGTGCTCGGGCGTGCAGCATGCTCTTCGTCGTTCGCATCTTCTCGGCCTTCTGAGAACATTTTGTACCACCGTTAAACGTTGCTTCGGTCCAAGGTAGCTTCTCTGTATGGCACAGTCAACATTCGGAATGCATCCGCGCACTTAATTTCGTTTTTCACACCAAATTCGATACAGGTTCTTTGATCCATTTTTTTGAATAGGTAAAAATCGAAGACCATCCAAAACACGTGCAAGCTAAGCAGCTGTCAACAATTAAGTGAACACTCAAAATGGCCGAACTTGACGGCTTAAGTGAAAGACATGAGTACCAGCATAACGCCACAAAAAAATCGATATTCGATTATACGTAACCCGCGAAAATTCAAAATTCGCGATACTTTTTGAACAAACCTCGTACATATGTGCACACGAAAGCAATTTTTTGTTTGTAATTTGAACACACTCAATGAATTTTATTTGCGAAATTTTACCAAATTTAGTTACAACTGTAGTAAAAATAAATAAAAAAAAAAGCCAAAGAAAAAAGTAAGCAAGACTATGTCAGGGTGAAGCGAATACGAAGTATCCGATTATCACTTACTCGTACGTGAGAATTTCTTCGGATTCGTATTGAAATCCTTGTGAGATCGAAATTGGCGAAAATTGGTTGTTGGGAATTATGAAAACATGATGAAAGATGAAAGTCTGTTTATATGCGCTGCCACCTGTTTCAAATTTTTTGATAAAAAATTAGTAAAATAGTTGAAAAATTGGCGGAATCAATAAAAAAAACTTAAAAATGAAATTTATACCCAAGAATTATCATTATTAATCTATTGGAGTTGAGTTGGACTACAGGGGAAAGTGTTTTTTTTTATTTTCAATTTTTTTTGAGAAATTTTTCATATTATTTGCAACTCCATAGTCACCTTGGCGGTCGCAACAGCCATATTCCTACATAAAATAAATGCTCAATATGAAAACCATCAGCAGTTCGGAGGCGGGTCACACTGTAGACTTTTGTTGTTGGAGAAGATCATCTAACTAGAGTTTCAGGCAACGAGTTGTTTCGACAAGTTCGGACCAGATCGAAAGGTGGGTTAAATGAGTAGGTTTTAATGGACATGCAAAGAGGTGGTTAGGGACGTGTGGGGTCTCATTGCATGCAGGAGATATGTGCGGTATATAGGGGCCAAGTTCGGA